CATCTACAGTCCTGCCAAATTTCATATTGATCGGTGCAGCCATTTTTGTGCTACGGTTGACCAAAAATCTACGGAGGAAAATAAATAAAAAAATAAAAAATAAAATAAACAAATAGTACGAAAACAATATGACTACCACTTTTCGCTTGCGGGGGTCATAATTAATAGTATGGCTAAGGAGACCTAAAAAGACTAAATCGGGGTATGAGGGGACACAGAAAGCATAAAATGAAGCACAGGGAGACAAAAAAGACAAAAAAGATAAAAATGACAGAAGAAGAGATAAAAAGACTAAAACTACATTAAAGGACACAAAAAGGACACACAAAGACAAAAATAAGTACAACAACACTAACAGGAGGAGTCTCAATTTTTGATCCAACATTTTGTCAGGAGGTTGTCTGTCAGCAGACCACCTGCTCACATCATCTGAAGGAAGCAGACAATAAAACAAATGTAATCTGGTTAAAATACTGAAGCTGACCTTCCCACATCTCTTGTAAGGAACTCCTTTCTTCTCAAAGTACTCATAAGCTAACGTTGCTCCTCGAACACACAGTCGAGCCTTCAGTGAACCTGGAGTGTAGTAGATCCCACTGTGGACCACTCCACTGTTGTGACCACTCTGGTGTGTAGCTGGTCGAAAAAAAAGAAGGAAAAAAAGATAAGAAAACTACTTGCCTTATAGATTTAGGAAAAATTAATGCTATGATGCTTTATTGTTGACTGCTGCTGTGAAAGGCAGGTGATCATGTAATTACATGTGTCWGACAGTGTGTTAAGCAGGGGCGTGGCTATGGGTGGGCCTATATGGGCATAGGCCCACCCACTTTGTACCTGGGCCCACCCAAATCAAATGGCTTTCTTAAAAAAAAAAAAAAAATCTATGTATTGTTTAGTTCTATTTTTGAGGGTGTCACTCAAAACCATCATAAAATAAATTAACTAAAATGAAATAAAATTCTAATTAACAACATATATTATGCATGGTGGTGATTGGTCACAATGTCTTTGCAAGACCTGCTCTCATTGGCTGTTTTGAGTCACATGACCTTTACACTCAAACCAGAGCTGTAAACAAGCTAGGGCTAGTTGTTTTACAAATGTGAGCCGTAAATACAAATTAGAAATGGCAAAGCAAATGTCAATTTAAAA